AATAAAAAAAAAAAAAGAGACAGTATACCACAGGGAACCTTAAATTTAAATAAGTGGTATATTCATCAGAACAGTTAATGGAAAAGTAGCCAGTCATCACATCATATTAATCAGAATGGCATTATATTTTGAACACAGCCACAACCAACTTCTGGTCGATATCCTATGTAAGACATAAGATGTTCAAATATCAGTACCGTTATAAGAAGTGCTTTTCTTTGATTTGCTCAAGCAATAACTAACAATGATTAGAAATGAATAGAGAAGATAACCTGAAGTTGCTTTCAAATTGTCACCCATTGGCATATCTAGTGCTAGGGACATGGCTCGATGTGCAGCAGCCAGTTGAGTTTCAGGAACAAGTGAAGTGGTACCCGATTTTAGGTTAGCCTGCTTTTTCTTGAGATTGGCCCACCTCTGTGCATGCAATTGCATCGACTAAAATCAGCAATAACTTTTTGGCCAAGCACGAGAACAATAAAGAATCACATGGTACATTATTCAAACAACAGAGATCTCCAGCAATTTCCATTGTGGTAACTTATTATCTACCATGACACAAAATAAGAGCTTTAATAATGCCTGATGGCACAGATTTATTGTTCAAATTTATTGTTTTAGGTTGCATAAGAAATTATGAACCCCGTCAGGGTAAAACCCACCCTCATACTACAACGCACATGTGCACAATCAAAACAGATAAAAAAGATCAGAAAGATATACACTTCCCCGAATCAAAACACAACCAAATCATCTGTCTAAGCCTACAGAAGTATAATGTAACCAAAAACTAGTAAGAGCTTAAAGAACAATCTCTTATCCTTATCCAAAAAAAGAGACAAAGAAAAACAACAAAATTCGTAGATCAATTCATTGATCATTAGAAATTCTATGAAAGCAGGAACTTCATATGAATGTTAAATACAACAGGATTGAGGTTATTAGAGAACCTGAGATAACTCTGATGGTTTTCTGTCGTTGTTGAAATCCTTGCTGGCAATAAGAGCCCAATTTGGTTCAACAATGTTTTTCACAGCAGCTGTGAGTTTCTGATCCTCTTCCACAGACCAACCCCTTCTTTTCCTTCGAGGTAAATTAACTCCTGATGCCTCAGTACCAGGCCTTTTTTCACCAGATAACCCTGAAGATGATGGCACCTTTTGTAAAGAAACAGGAATCGTAATGTTTGTCCCCTGCCTACCACTGGTAAAAGGTGAACTATCTGAAGGCATGGACAAAGCCTTGCTGTTTGGTATATTAATGGTCAATGGTCCCTCAATTGTTGAAACGGTTGAGTTGTTTGGAAGATTCGAATCATTTGTGCATCCAGAAGCAATTAAAACCTGAAGAAAAAATGATATAACAAACATAAAGGCATCGATCATTTGCGACATGGAAATAGGTAAGAAGATCAAAGCAAATAAAAAAACAAAACACTAGATGCTTGAGATATAAAACTATAACAATTAGTCTCCAAGCAAACAGATGCTGCCAATAAACAATAATTAAAAATTGATTACAGTCGTACAACTAGAGATTCTATTTGACTAACATGTAAAACCACAAATGGATAGTATTAATCTAAAGACTGAACGCAATTAATCATTACAAAAGGATTATATATTAAAATTAAATAACTGTGGATGACAACCTCTGCAAAATTATTGCGCATGAAATAAAATTTACTTGATTGTTTCAAAGCATTGATTAATGGAAAAGACATAAATGGGCAAGTAAACTATTCCATTGTGCACACATTCGTTTTGTACAATTCATGAGCTAATGTGCATATTAATCTAATTACTTACATATTTATTAAAACGCTTCATATTCATATTAATCCGATTTCTGATACATATGAATTCCAGTAGTTTTATGATGGCAAGAATTTGTCAAAAATGAACTCCAAAAGATTGTACGAAAAATCAGTGCATATACAACATCCACAAAAGTTGTACAGATTGTAATAATGGTAGCTAAACAGGTATAGGGGTTAAGCATCACATGCGGTAATTCTAAAATAATTAGACAATTGCCTTTCAACTTTACATAGTGGCGAAGAAGAACCTAAAGCAAATGATCCAAGATAACTATGAAGAGGTATTACGATGATCGTGTCAAAATTTAGATAAGGTGACTACTTAAATACTAATACTTAGAAAGATCTCACTACTCCCAAAAGTAAAAGCAGTATAATAATGGTCGAACTTAGGGAAAATCAAGAAAAAATCAAATCTCAGCATACCAAAACAAAAATTAAAAAAAAGGATTCATGACAGTAATGTCTGTAACCATATTCTTCACATACGGGTTTGCAGATAATAATCTCTCTATTTTATTCACAGGTATATCTAATACACATACTTTAACACATGCTGCAGCCTCCACTGAAGCTTCACGTCCTGCAGCAGGAAAAGCTTCCAGCTCGTATTCCAAATCACTATCATCGTCCTACAACCAGAGTAGCAAGAAGTTCCCAATCATAAAACCAAGCAACCAACCCATCAATCAAAATGTAACTTCAATTAAATGTAATGACTTTCTGCAAAAGTCATATAATAAAATGCTGGCTATAATGATTTCAACAAGTAAATGGAGATAACAGGGAATCACACATTGATTGCCAAATCATGGATGAAAGACACATGATGGTGGGTGGGGAAAATAAAAAAATTAAAATAACAAGATCATGAAATCGTCAAAATTCATATGAAGCAGGATTCAAAATACATATACGCACAGACAGGATTAAATGTATCAGCCAACCATAGGATTTGAGTCAGGCTCAATTTGATCTAGGGTTTCGCCGTAGGCGAGATGGCGCCACAGCATTTGGTACTCCCTCGCACTGCAAATTCCGGTGGTTGTGTTCTTAACCATTTCAGCCCAATTGATCTTCTCTCCGGCCGCCTGAGAAACTTCTTGCAGCAACGCGAGCACCGTGCTCACGGAGTACCTGAGAAAAAAAAATCCAGAATTAAAACGATAAAACGAGAAGGAAGGACTTTTTTTCTTCCAAAAAAATTAAGATCACGGAACGAAATTCTTACCTCCGTAAGAGGGTGGACATGTTGTCTTCAGTTATGGTCACCTTCTTTCGCTTCTTCGATTTGTCAACCATTGTTGGATGACGACTGCAATTGTTTCTTTGGGTTCAGTGTGGTGAAAAACCTTAGAGAGAAAAAATAGAGGATTTCTAGAGAGAGAAAGGAAGCAAGTTATAAGCGAGAAGGTGACGAGGACTTGGTACCATGCGACTTAATATTATTTTAATACAATTAAAATCTCATCATAATTTAAATTATAGTATTACATGTATTCGATATAATAAAGTAAATAAATTTAGAAATTCTGTTGTGTTTTGACCTTATTAAATTATGACGATGTAAAAACATTGAAATTATAAATATGAAAGTATTTCTGTATTACTTGAATATTATATGATAGAGATTACATTATAAATATGAAAGTATTTCTGCATTACTTGAATATGGGCCAAAGGTTAGGTAGTCTTTTAGGATCGACCCACTCATGTTTTAAATTATGTATATAAAAATGCTAATTACATATTTGAATAATATGTATTTTAAAAAAAAATTGTTTTGGCGGCATTAATCATGATAAATTTTAATTTGTAAAATGGTTAACTGTTAAACCTTTACAAATTTTTGTGTGAGCTATTCTAATCATACAGATTTTCATGTGAACTAATCTAATCATTAGACGAACAACTCATCATGCTCAATGGATAAAAATAAAAATATATATTCACTATAAAACTTCATACTCATGTTTATATCTTTTTTTTTTCAATATGATATTTTTTAATAAAAGTACACAAATTTATGAAAAAAATGTGTCGACAATATAGTTAGGCCGATCTAATAGAATACGAGATAAACAAGAAACGACATTTGTTACCCAAAAGGAATATTAAATGAATGAAAATGGGATATCGATGGAACATAATGAAATAGAGCCACTATGATATATGAAATGCAATTACATGTAAGTGTACGGTTGAAATAGAAATTTGCAAAATTTAAGATAATCTATTACTATATAATACGATTAAGCAAAACTAAGTGGATAATTAGAAAATAATTTGAAAATAGAAAGTAGTTTTTCCGCTTTTTTATTTCGTTTTTTACCATTTTGGGTAAAGATTTTTTATTTATTTTGGTATTCCCGCTCATACAATTTGTTTGAAATAATCCGCCCAATGAAACCTTATCCGTAATAAAAACAGAATCTTATCCGCCCTTTTTTATTACGTTTTATAAAATATTATAAAAACAAAATCTTATCCGCTTATAACATGTTATGAACAAATAATTTAACCATAAAAGGCTACCAAATGTAGTTTCATATTGATAAAACTCTAAGTATAAAATCATTTAAAGCTTATATCTTTTATGTATGGTCTTACAAGGGATCATAACACGTATTTGAGCTTACATATAATGTTATGGATCTCATGAAAAGATTCCTAAATTTTTATGCTGTGAATGTTTAATGTTGATGTATTAATTAACTTTAGAACCAAGAAATTAAATAAAATTAAATTCAAATGGGAATACTGTGCTTGGAAAAAAAAAATGGGAATACTGTGCTGTTATATATTATATTTTACGGAATAACAATTATGTGATTATATTTCGTTTTATAAAATTAAACAAACAACACACCCTTTTTTTTTCGTTTTATATTATATTTTGATTTGTAATATTTTGCTAAACAACAAGATATTGTTAATTGATACGTGATAAGGTAAACAGTCGAATAAGATTTTGGTAAACAAATGTATATTGTTATTTAGTAAACAATTGGATATTGTTAATTGTTAATAGGATATTGTTATTTGTTAATTGTTAAACAAATTTTCACGTGATTATACCTTGATTTTTTGGGGTGCTGCAGAGTTGTTTGAAGATTATCTGCCAAATGATTAAATTTTTATTTTTACTTCTTAGTTTTAACACGTTTCTTATGTAATCTTACTGGGCAATTGATATCAAAAGTTGGAGAATACTAAAAATCACATTTATAAATTTAAGTATAGATATGCCATTCTAAATAGAGTCCTCATATACGTAAATTGCGACTGAATCTTTGACATATAACTTTAAACATCTTTGACATTTAACTTTAAACGTGAAATCAATTTCTCATATATTTTTTATCATTCTTCCAAGTAGAGTCCTCATATTTTACATCTGCAAGAAAGAGTCACTTACCTACTTTAGTGAATGTTATTATTCGAATAATACAAAAATATATATGGAAATGCTATGGAGCCAACGGTTGGCCATAGTAGGACTGAAAATCTATATAGAATATAAATCAGTTCATATCTTTAATGATATGTACAGACAACCATTTTTTTCTCAAATTTGGAATAAATAATATTGCAAAACATATATGCCTTTTATATATGTGAGATTCTAATTTACCCGATACTTCAAATCTCTAACCTTATTCTAATATGTGGTGAACATGATTTGCCCCCAAATTAAACAAATAATGTTGTGTACATAGAAGTTTTTAATAATATAAGTTTTTAATGTGGTGAACATGATTTGCCCCCTAATTAGATGTTAAATTTAATTAATTACATTTAAAATAAGTATTTCAATATGTTTTAAGTTATGCGTCCACCGTGCATCGCACGGGTACCACACTAGTATCCTATAAATTTTTCAATAAATGAAAATGTCAGATGACTTGAGTCTCGACATATGGCCAAAATTATTTGCCTATTTTTATAACTGATTATGTCGAGATATATTCATAACTTCATCTCTGGAAGTTCTTCAAGTAGTGATTTATTTTCTGCAAATAACTATTAGTTGAGCAAGACGAAAAACTACATTAATCTATGACACAGAAACTGGTTCAATTCATTAGCACATATGTCCCTGTTTTGTCAACATTTTTTATTGATGAAAACGGGGTCTGATGGTGGTTCAACTTAAAATAAGTTATATCCACCGTGATAAGTGTAGAATATTTGTGTGGTTTGTGAATATCAACAAGACGGCTTAAGGAGAATGAAGAAAACGATACAAAAAATCAAAATCGAGGCACGTAATAATTACGTTCTCCTTAAGACGAAATTTGCCCCGTAAAATACCCACGATTAACGGCAAACGCCACCAAAATACAACGACTTTCGACTTGTATATAGCGATACTTCAAATATAGAAGATTTCGGCGAACACTACTATTGTTTGGAACTCTCAAGAGCTCAACGAAAAAATCAAAGAATAAATTATGCTTTATGAACTTTGAAAATATAATGCAAAAGCTCTTCCCTTTTAAAGTTAAGAATGGTTTTATTTATGTGGGTATTTATAGATGTAGGAAAACATCTCCAAAAGGTTTAAGTGTCGAAAAGACACCTTTTGGGACATACCCGAACGAGAACGAATGCATCTATAGGCCAAAAGACACCTTATAGGCACCAAGGGTTACGACCTTTCGGTGTCCACAGCCAGCTGCGCATTCGTACGCCACGGGCTCGTACGAGCTCATACGGACTCGGATTCGAGTTCCGTTTTTTCCTACTTGTCCCCGACGAATCCCTCTAGAGTTCTAACATGCAAACCGCATGATCAAGTCTCGTTTGGATTATCCTAACACTTGTCAAAGACATAATGTTATACGAATCCAACAATTTGAATTACTTAAACTCATTGCTTCAACCTTACATTTCCCACATATACACCTTAGAATTAATTTCTCATTCACCTTAATACGGTTTTGAGAATTTTCTAAGTCTTCCACTTACGAAAAATGGAACCGTTGAATCGATACAAAATCAATTTTTCTTACAATAAGAAGGAACATCATAACTTGACCATTAACATCTATTTCAAATACTATCAGTTAAGTACACACATAAACAAGTTCATCGTAGATTTCGTATGGATTTGTATCCTACATGCAATTGGAAATTACAATGATTGTATCACACAAAAGATTGATGTTGTTGGCAAGTTTGGTGTATATGTTGAGTTAAAGTAGATTTAGATTTTGAGTACGAATTGAATAAGAGTGAAATAATTTATAAGCAAGTATGCCCTTAGCTTTCCCATGTTATCGATCTACACGATGTCATAAAATTCCCCACCTTACAGGAAAAAACTGGCGTGATTGGTTGCAAATATACATGACCTAGCTGTATAAATAAATTAATCCATATGATTTTATCTTAGAGGTGATTTGGAATGAAATTTGGAGCACATAAATAGAGAAGTGGAAATTCAACCGGCTCGAATTCACATGTATTCCCCAAATTGATATTAGATCTAATTGATTTTCTAAAGTCAGCAGTTTCCCATTCTATCCAGAAAATGTTTAGTTGTGAAGTAGTTCGAAGGTTTGATTCAAACATCATAATGGCTCTTGGTTATGACTCAACTGCCCCCTATAGTGAGATCTTGCTAAATGAGAGTCGGGAAAAAAATAATAATAAAAAAAGTATACATTATGGTGTAGATTAGTATCTATTAATATTATTATTATTTAATAGGTGTCTTTGAGTGTAAGTTAGTAATTTAATATTATTATTAATATTTAATAAGAGTTTTTGTCTTGTTAGACAAGTTAAGGTTTAGGGTTAGGAGCCTTATATAAAGGAGTTTCTCTAGTTTATTTTCGTTGGTTGATTATGAATGAAAGAAGATATTGTTGAGTTTTGTGAGTTTTATCGAGAGAGTATCTCGTTTATCTTTCCCGCTCGTACGTTTCCCTACATCAGTTGGTATCAGCAGTCAATACGATTCGCGATGTCGCCGGGACGACAAGATGCCGCAAACAAACAATGTGATGCAACCTCCAACGATCAGTTTCAACAGATCGACTACCGATTTGAACAGTTGGACGTGCGTTTCACGGATTGGTTTGCAGATCTTTCGACGGGGATCGAGAATTTGCGTTTGACGCTTAACAACCTGATCTGGAATTTGCAGATGAACCGTGCCGCCGGCGACCGGGGTGTGCGCGGGGGAGTTCACGGAGGAAGTGGAGGTCGTGTTCCAGGCGGGGCGCCCCGTCGGCGATCTCTACAACCGCCGCCCGGCGATGCAGACGGCGAGGAGACCATCTCGGAGGTGGATCCCTTCGGAGAGTGGCCACCTCCGCCCGTCGAGACTAAGCTCCTCGTTGCACACAATCACTAAGATGTGCGGCAATAGAGTGCGATTTTTGAGGAAGAAGACAGGCTATTGTACGACGGTCCGCCTA